GGTTAGTAAAAAATTGCCGACCTTGTTTCTATGTTTTATGTTTAGACCATTGTATCAAATAATTTTTGCCGACCTGATGCCAACCTCAGAAACATATATATATATATATATATATATATATATATATATATATATATATATATATATATATATATATATATATATATATATATATATATATATATATGCTCCTAAATATGGTTGATGCTATCGAAAACAGTCTAGAATGGCCCCTGATATATATATATATATATATATATATATATATATATATATATATATATATATATATATATATATATATATATATATATATATGAATATATATATATATATATATATATATATATATATATATATATATATATATATATATATATATATATATATTTTAAAAGACGACATCTTGTATGAGAGTTGAAAAAATTTAATATGTGAACATCAATGAATACGAATTCTCTCAATACTAATTTTTTTTATTTAATCTAATAATTTATTGCTAGATCATTGATACTAGCATCTTCAGCTTTTATTATAAATTGTTAATTAAATTCAATTGCAAACAAACGGTAACGTCACTTTTTAATGGCTTTTTTAAAGTTCTCTTTAATTGGGTTTCTTTAATATTACGTATAATTGAAGCCATATATTTTATACCTACCATTAGTTTTTTCAATTTTATGCTCAGTAAACAGCAAAGCTGCTACAATAGATTGTAATTTTACCTTCAAAATGTTGCCTTGTAAGCCAGATTGGAAAGCTTGTGGCTATTCCATTTTAACTCAATATGAACAAAGGGTATATTATTTACTTCAAAGAATAAAATTACCTTTTAGTATTTCTATTTGTTCTGTATTTCATGAATGCATTGCTTCTGAAATTGATCTTTTTTACAATAATGTTTAAAAATGTATGCAATCTGCTGTAACTGATGTGATACCTCTTTTTTTTTTTTTAAATTTAACATCTTCGCTTCCAACAAGGCTGCAAGCAACCACTAATTAGTGTTGGAAGTTACTGGAAGAGAAAAGATGAAGATTGTAGAGCAAGATAACGATTGACAGACGACTTAAAAGATTGCAAATTATATGAATCAGGAAAGCAAGATGAAGGAAGCTAATTCTAAAGAACTGATGTTTGAGGGAAAAAAAAAAGAATAAGAGTTTTTGGAACACTAAAAAACAGTAACAAAAAAAAGATGAGACTTAATTGAATGACGAGTAACACGAGAATATATTTTAGTAGATGGCACAAGAGACACTAGCTCTTTAGAGCAGTGCCCATTATAGTATTTTTAGAAAAGAGATAGAGAAGCAACATTACAACGATGTGATAATGGTTGAAGGTTGGTTGCAAGAGCAGGTCCAACTATGTTTACAATGCATTTTTGCACCTTGTCTAAAAGAGAAAGGGTATCATTAGAAAATCCGCCCCAGGTATGGCAACAGTATTCCATACAAGGCCAGATTTGAGATTTATAGAGATAGAGAATAGAATCCGGAGTAAAAAAGTGTTAAGCTTTAAGAGTAAAAAAGTGTAAAAAGATGCAACTTTAGCAGATGCTAATTTTGTAATGGATTTGATATATGGTTTCCAAGAAAGATCAGAAGTAAAAGTTAATCCTAGAAGATGAAGGGTAGATGACTCACCGAGTACATTACCAATCATAAATATAGGGAGGTCTAAATTATAACAATTGGCTGAAAAAAACTGAGTTTTATATGAATTAAAGTTCACCAGCCACTGTGAGCCCCATGCTGTAGCAGAAGTGAGATCCTTTTCAAGCTCAAACGCCCCCTCCAAACAATTAGAAAGTGTTGGCTTCTTATCATGACAATAATAAATGGTAGTATTATCAGCGAACAATGCCACCTAAGATGTGAGAATACCTGGGAGATCATTAATGTAAACAGAAATATTAAATATTATAGTGAATTAAAAAAAAAAAATAAGTAAATTAAAAATTAGAAATATTAAAGTAAATTAAAAAGAGTATAGGGCCAAGGATTGAACCTTGAGGAACCCCTAAGGTTACAGAATTAGAAGAAGAGTGCTGTCCAACAAGGAAACTTTTATACTACGAGAGGGGTTTTATACTACTTAGGGATTTAAAAGTAAATTCTGAATTTAATGTTCCCGGATGGAATCACCATGTTGCAGATAAACACAAGTTTGCCCAGGATGCATTCAAACATTAGGTAGTTTATGGAAAAACTAATTATGGAACAATCTTTAAAAGAATAAAAAAGTAACAAAACTTGGGCAGTATTTAAACATGCTTTTAGGCATTGTAAAAATCATACTGAGTAAATTAAAGCTGATAGATGTGCAGAGAATATAAAAAAATGGTGATCCTTTAAAGTTTTGAAACAATGTGAATGAAAATTAGTAATGTAAAGGCAACCAATCATGTTGCTAGTATTGGTGGAGTTACTAATGACAACAACATCACTATGTGGAAGACACATTTTCATACACTATATAGTTCACTTAATGATAAGCCGCGAAAAATACTATAAATGATCAAACTTTGTTTGTCAGATGGCAGAAAGTAAACTGATAGCTTTAACATAGGCAATAATGTTAAGAAAGGTGGAACTCTTTTCTTGTTCATATTTTATACAAGAAAACTGATTTCAATAATTCGAATATGCATATTCTATGTAACATAAGTAGAACTTTTTAAAATCTTTTGGTATATGCCGACAATATTGAACTAGTTGCTTCTTCTTGGTTTGCATTGCAAAAATTATTAACTGCATTAAATATTGAAGCCACTGCCATTAACATCATTTAATACAAAAAAGTCTGATGTGTATGGTATTTAACCCAAAGCAGAGATGCAAGATTGTGTCAAGCAATTTTCTACTGTTTACGTTAGCTAGATGTGAATTAGTTTTCAATGACAAATTCAAGTATCTGGGTCACATAATGGAAAATGGTTTGTTTAATGATGCTGATATAAATCGAGAGATTAAATGTCTTTATGCACATATAAACATATTAATCAGATGATTCAAGAAATGCTCGATTAAGGTAAAAAGTAGCTATTTAAGATCTTCTCTGTTTTTATGATGTGGTTCTATGGACTAATTTTAGTGCAAATACCATGTTAAAGCTAGATTCTTGCAAGAAATATACTAAAATATTTTTTGGATATCACAAGAACTTAAGAGCTACAATTATGTTTCTGGTACTAGGCTTGCCTAATCTAGATTAGGCAAGCCTAGTAAAAAGTAACTGATTTATAAGCCTAAACAGACTTAGCCTTATAAATCAGTTAGTTACCTGTGCCAGCAGCAATGCAACTGTGTATAAATTAAACAGAACTTTTAATTATTTTTTTCAATCTTAGCTATGGACCTTGTACTGTACTTGTTGTCTGTATCAAATAAATAATATATATATATATATATATATATATATATATATATATATATATATATATATATATATATATATATATATATATATATATATATATATATATATATATATACATATATATATATATATATATATATATATTTATGCATAACAAATGCACATATTAGATTTTTACAGTTGTATTTCGATAAGTTTTTTGAGTTTATTTTATACAAAGTTGCCTGCTTTAGATTTGAATAATATTTCTGGTACAAGGTGTTTATTAAGCATGTTCAGTTTGTGTATGACTTTAAACATTTTAAAAAGATAGACTCTTTCACTTCAATCTGAAAGATTTTATGTTTTTAAATCTCTACTCATAACAAGTTTTCTTTAAAATATTGGGTTATGTTGATTTTTATTGATATTTTTTATTTAAAACTACTGGGTCTATTTAAATCTTATGACAGAGATAATTTAACATAAACTAGTGTAATGTTTGAGGGCTCACTTCATAAATAAGAAATTCCAATTTTGATTCCTACTGTGGCTCTGCTAATACAAGGACATTTTGATTTTATTATTTAAAATGTTATTAGAATTTAGATTTAATTAAATTATAATAGAATAATTAGCATATTAATAAGATAATCTTTCTAGTTAATAAATGTTCACTAGACTCTTACAAAAATCTTAATAATCAAATGTCAAGTAAAAAAATAGTTACAATCATTTTTTTTAATGGACTTTTAGATTGAATGTAGGTTTTTAGTTAGTAAATTGTAAGCAAAGAAAAACAGTTACAAATTAAGAATTCCAAGACTTTACTTTTTATATATTTTAATTAATGCTATTGTTGTTTAATGCTGTTGCTGTTCCCTGTGCATAATTAAATAGAGAATTTCAAAGTATTTCTGATGATCAAAGATTTTAAAGAATCTTTATAATGATCAGGCAGTGCAAAGAAGTTCTATAATGATCAAAGGTTCTAAACAAATACTATGATGATCTAAAAGTTGAAAGAATCTCTATGATAATCAAAAAGTTTAAAGAATCTTTATGATAAACTCAATAATGAAATCTGAGATTCTCATTGAGATTTATTGAACTCTCTGATCCTCATAGAGATTTATTAAACTCTCTGATCATCATAGAGAATTTTTTAACTCTTTGATTATCATAGAACTCTTTAATCATCAGAAATGCTTTGAACTCTCTGATGAATAAAGATGAATAAAGACTTCAAAAAAACTCTATTATGAACATAAAGTTGAAAGAATATCTATTATGATCATAAAGTTGAAAGATTATCTATAATGATTAAATAGTTAAAAGAATCTTTATGATGATTAAATGAAAAGCATTCTAATCTTTGATTATTTAGCAATGGCAAAAAAAAATTTATTTTAAATGCATTATGTTTTTTAATAATAAATTATACTTTTGTTTGATCTTAGTAATGAGGTTTAAACACATAATGTTTAAAAATGAACCATTTAGCTAAATTAATTTGTTAATTTTTTTATTTAATATTAGCTAAATTAATTTGTTCCTCAAAATTTCCCTACTTTAAACTGTATTTTTTTCCAATATATCTCTTTTAAGTACATTTTTCTTATCTATTATTATTTTAGATGTGTATGCTGAAGTTGTTTGGAATTCTAGTTTTGAAACAAATGAAAGTGACACATGGAGTGTAACATCCGGTAATCAGCCATTTCAAAGAGTATTATACTCAAATTTAAATGGTATACCTGTTCAAAGTAAGTTTGTTTTTTGTATATGTCAAAATAATATCAAAACAAATTTTGGGGCTAATGAAAATATGGGAAGGTATTAAAAAGTTTCAGCTTAATTTTATTAATAAAATTTAAATTTATTATCTGTTTTCTGGTTTTTACTTTTTTTACTTTTTACTTAGTCAAAAACAAACACATATGAAATAATCAGAATAATTAAGTTAATACAAATTGGTGCATTCAAAAAGAATAGAAGCAAAAGTTATTACTTTTTAGTTATTGTGGTTTTAACAATGAATTTAATAGTCTTTGAATTTGTTTTCTTTGGTTTACTTTTATTTATTATATTTTCTGATTGTACCATCCTGCCTACCTAACTGGACAGTTTCCTTGGTACCTGTATTGCCTATGTTGAATTGTTAACATGTAATAACAGAATTCGCAAATCTTGTTATTGCATGTTAACAATTCCCAAATCCTGTTACTGCATGTTAGTGATTCACAAACTTATCCTATTATTGTATATTAATAATACACAAATCATGTTGTTGCTTGTTAGCAATTCACAAATTCTTTTATTGCATGTTAACAATTCCTAAATCCTGATATTGTATGTTAGTGATTTACAAACTTATCCTATTATTGTATATTAATACACAAATCATGTTGTTGCTTGTTAGCAATTCACAAATTCTTTTATTGCATGTTAACAATTCCTAAATTCTGATATTGTGTGTTAGTGATTCAAAAACCTATCCTATTACTGTATGTTAGCAATTCGCAAATCTTGTTATTGCAAGTTATTGATTTACAAACTTATCTTATTATTGTATATTAACATTTCCAAATCCTCTTTTTGTATGTTAGTGATTCACAAACTTATTCTTTTTATTGTATGTTAACTTATCACAAATCCTATTTTTGCATGTTTGCAATGACAATTTTAATTTTCAAATAAAAAAAATCCTATAAATTTATAAAAAAGAACTGCAATTCTTATGAGTTAATGCTAATGAGCTTATGTCTGATTTGCCAAAGTATCCTTGCTCTTCCTCTGTTAGAGACGTTAGAGACCAGCAATTGTTTAAATTTTTCTGTCGTTAATATCATTATTTCTATTATTAATGCACTTAAATTAATTTAAAACAATTAAAAGCATGGTTATTTACTCAATTAAAAAAAAATCAAATTTAAAATAATCCAGATTCATAACTTGCATTTTGAATTGTTTTGTATGCAAATAATCTAAACATTAGTTGGGTAAACATTTAACAATGGGTTAGCCTAATTACGGTAATTATTTAAAATATTTGTCTTATAGGTTATCAAGAAATTTATTTTGAATAGGAAATATTTTTTCAAGGGAATTTTTTTAATCGATAAAGAATATGGTTTTTATAATAGTAATATATAAAAAAAGTTTTATGTAATAAATATGTTTTTTAAATTTAATTTTACTAGAAGCTGTATTTGACCAAATTTATATTTTTCCAACTTAATTTATGTCACCATTAAATTATAATTTTTTTTATCTAATGCCACACATTACACAGACTTGGTCAGGAAGCAGGAGCAATTGCGCTCTAATATTGACCAAATAAATATTATTTGATATTATTTAGTTGCAAAACATTGGCCAGGTTTTTTAGTTGTTTTGAGAACATTTAAGTTTATGCATGTCCGTAAAACAAAAAATTTTTGTTTTGCCAATATACATGGAAAAATATAAAAACTTAAATTTTCTCAAAACATCTTGGTGCAGAAGAATAAAAAAAATATTGGCAAATACTAAAAACCCTCCAAATTTATGAACAAACTAATTCTATTGGTTTAAAAAATATGCTAAAATGACTATGCAAAATAAGGTTTTAGAGTATTCTGTTAAAATGTTTTAAAAATTGTATCATTATTCAAGATTTAAGTTATGAGATTTCTAGCATAAATTGTTTTAAGAATATATTATCAAACAAACTATTATTTTATTACCATGGCTCATTCTCGGAGCCACATCTCCAAAGCCGTAAATCTTTTAAATTTTTATTATTTGTTTACAAAAACTAATTTTTTATATATTTTTTAAATTGTCAAAATTTTTAAAGTTTGTTATAAATTATAGATTTTATTAGTATATTGTTCTTATTTTTTATTTAAAAAGTGTGTATTTTTAATGTAAATGTATTTTTATGTACCTGTTTTTTATTCTAATGTAATCTTTTAGAACAATTTTTACAATTTATTTTGTAAACAAAGACTAATAATTTCACTAATAATTGTGTTTTTAATGAAGTTATTATTATGCATCAAAAGTTAATAAAACTAATTATGAATTTAACAAGAACTTGGTTACTAAACACAAACATGCATACAAAGTAACTCACGGAAGAACAAGCGCCGTGCCCGAGTTCACGACAGAACACAAATATATAGAAAGTTATTAGATATAAAGAAAAGGTTTCAGATATTGATTTACTAATTCTGATTATTTTGCTTCAGTTGCCATTCTTAAAATCTCGTTATACTTTTTTCTGTTTTAAATACTAATTAAAATTTAAAAGGTTACACTCACTAAACATCATCAGCGATATTGTGTAGCAGTTTCGCTTCCTCGTCATAAAGTATTTTTAACCTTTTTAGTTGATTTCTATCTAGTTAATTTAATTTCTATAGTAACTCAATGATTTAATTATTTCATTTGTTCATCTTACTTAGAAGAATTGTTTCAAATATGTTAAACTTTTTAAACTACGAGAAGCAAAATATTGTTATTAAAAAAATTAACTTTTTTATATATTAAACAATTTAACTTAAATAAAACTAAAACTAGCGTTAGTTTTATTAAAATTAAAATCTTGTTAGACCTTTTGGGGCCAGGGGCTATTTTTTTTTGGAGGCCTTTTTATGTGCCACAGATAAAAAATGATTAAAAAAAAGATCTTCTTTACTTTTTCAGGGCCCCTACTATTGTGGAGGCTGGGGCTATATCCCCTTCTAACCTCAATTCTCCTTAATCTAGCACTGGAAATAAGACATGAGTATATAAATAAAAGTTATATTATACTCTTTGATAAATAAAAAAAAATTGTTTTCTTTTTAAGCAATAGTAAGATATTACTTTATATAAAAATGTCGCTTAATTTTGTAAAAAAATTACAAAAGAGCAATGTTTCAAAAATATTTGTTCTAAATTTAATTTATTTTGCTTTTTTTGTGTTAAAAGATATTTTGTTTTCATAGTTTATTTATTTTTTAAGTTATTTTCTCTTGTTGGTCCAATTAATCTTTTTTGCGCTTTGTTTTTTGTTATTTAAAATGTTCTTTAAACGACAAAAAAATCTGGCCAATTTTTTCGCAACTAAATTCTATTTCCGTTTTCAGTAATTGAGAGCGATCGCTCCTGCTTCCCAACCAAGCCTGATTACATACAATTGTTTTATTATTATTATTATTATTATTACTATTATTATTATTGCTAGGACATTTATTGTAATAATAATTGTCGTAATAATGGATTTGTTTTTTGAGCTGATTTTTTATATTATTTTGTTAATACCGTGTTATCAGTTCAAAATATATCTGGAAATACTTTTGAAACTATGTTTTTTTTAGGTTAGATACATATAAACGTGCAAACTTAAACATAAAAATATGTCGGTTTCTTAAATTATTATTTATATATATTTTGGTAATAAGAGTTCCTTATATAAAACCCTTTTAAAAAAACATTTGTTCATCAAAATCCATCAAATATATACTTTTTTATCAATACTTTTACACTTTATTATTATTTCCACTTCTTATTTTTAAAGCTGATTTTTGTTTGTTTGTTTTTTTTTGTTGCCGTTAATTTGACATGCACCATTAAATTGCGCTGAAATAGAAAACAGTTTATAAAAATTATAACAATCCACCATCTAATTTGCATTCTATAGCATATTGCTGTAAATTTAATAAAGGCTTGTTTAAATCACTGAAAAATACTGGGGGGTGAGGGATGGCTTTTTTTTTTTTTTTTGAAAAGCATTTTTTTTTTAAATAGAGGATTTTATTTTTAAATCAAGGAGTGCCCCTACCACCACCCGCCCCGAAAAAATATAAATATAATATTTCATTCAGCAAATAGTTTGGTTTTCGAAACGGGCTTTTAACACATCATTCTGTAACTGATTTAGCCAGTCTAATTCTGGACAATTTTGCAAAAAAAAGTTATACTTTTGGCTTGTTTATCCACTTGTCAAAAGCTTTTGACACTGTTGGTCATGAATTGCTCTTGTACAAACTAGAAACATATGGAGTAATAAATAGAAACTTAAAATGGCTATAGAGTTACCTTAAAAATAGAAAACAAGGAGTATCTTATGATTGTACAAAGTGTACTAAGTTAGAAACAATAAACAGTTTTTTAAGGCTCAAACTTAATTTGTCTTATATAACGAGTATAAGTAAGTTTATATAATGAAAAGTTTGTAAAAAATACTTTACGCTAAATTTAAAATACTTTATGGCGTAGAGGCTTGATGAAAGGTTTCTGTCTTCTACTTTCTCCAGTAAATAAAAATCTTTATTTAAATTTTAATGATGAAAATTGTGAAACAAGACCATTGTAAAATGTTTATAAATTACGAATAAATATACATATAATATAAGACAATAATTTCTTTGAGATAATAAAATGTAAATGAAAAATAAAGTAAAACGTATTCAAAGCATCAGAATTGTTTTTTTATAAAAATAAAATTCTGATGTTGTTGTCTATGCTGGATATGGGTAAAGACAGGGTTGATTTATTGGCCTTCATGTTATTGGTTTTCAAACCAGCCCGCCAAGAAATTTCCCGATATTCAGTGGCCACCTAAATACTGGAAATTTCCCGGTATTCAGGTGTACTACCTAAACATTTTGCATTTCAGCGTTTCAGCATATATATTGCTGAATATTAACAATTAAATGCAGTATCACACATATAATGCAGTAAAACGTTATATTTGCAACTGTTTTTTGTAGCTCTTAAAATTTAGTAAGAGGAA